AGAGATATAAGTTTTTACAGTAAAAAGGAAGTTCACTGTTTCAAGAGAGAAGTTGGAGAATATGAAAGGGTGAGTTTCAGAGGTTGAAGATGAGTTCGTGTAAGTGAAAGTGTTTTTTCGAAAAGTCTGATTTTGTTAAACTAACGTTAAAATTTGAGAACTACTCACATGTAGCCACATGCACACCAACTCTGATTTCAGAAACTTCCAACATGACAAGTGGCATGCTTGCATGCAGACTTTAGTGCGTTTTAATGAAATCAGAGAATGATGGGCGTGGTGTTTTGTGCACGTCAGAGGGAATGGGATCAGTCTAGGGAGTGGTTTTAAATGGCTGGAAATGAGGTGGCAAGCATTAAGGGTGAGATATCAGGATTAACTTAAGCTAATTATTAAGGGTCTCACATATATATTCTTCTAAACTATTTGATTTGTTCTAAGCACTTTGTCTTACACGCAAATATCAATTTCACACAAATAATCGTGATACTAAAGTATGCAACCAAGTGAGACTTTTTATATCAATTCTACTATACGTGAATTATTTAGTTTTCATAATTGTAATTGATATATAAAATGTAAATCTTTTAAGATGTCAAAAACATAATAAGTTAAATTTATTATGTAAAGTGTATGAATATTTATCATAATAAATTCAATTTACTATAACATGAGTTAATAAGCCTCAGATAATAAGTTGACTTACTCTGATAGATATTAGAACACCTAACATAGTAAGTCGAACTTACTATGACAGGTATAAATAGACTTAATATAGTAAGTTGACTTATTATGACAAGTATTTAATGACTCTTCCACCTTTCCCGACGTTCATTTCTTAGACCAAGAAGACTTCATGACTTTACTGATACTCATATGGGTATTCGGGTTGGGGTTGAGGAGTTTGGTAATAAACCTTCATGCCTCCATGAAAAATCAAGGTAGGCACTTGATGTTCCATCTATAAATTTTCTTAATTATGTTTACCAAATGTCATCCAGAAAAGGTAGAAACCCTATGAGGAGGATGTAGAGGATGAGCCCACATGACCATATATCAACCTTGGAATCATCATACTTCGCTATGACCTTTGGTGACATGTCTGTGGACATGTCGCACGTGAAATGTAGTAGCCCATCCTCCTTAAGGTGGTTGGAGAAGGCGGTGAGTCCGATGTAAGAGACCTTGAGGTTGTCATATTCGACTAAGAAAAGGTTCTCCGACTTGAGGTTGCAGTGGTAAACACAACATTTATGGCAGAAGTCGATCGTAAAATCAACTGCTTGAAACAGAGTCTCATGACGTCTTTCTTCAACCGACCTTTGAAGTCCTTTGGTTTAATGTTAATATGAATATTGAACCAAAATAAAGTTTTGAAAATACTAGCTTTTGCCCAAGAATGCAAAAAGATAAGTGTGGGGGTGTGATGAGTGTTGCATATTTATACCCTTATTTAGTCTATCTTGCATAAGGATGACAAAAAAATCTGCGTCCGCGGATACCCATGGATAAAATCCGCGATGAGTAGTTACTATCCACATATATTTATTACCCACGGATAATAGGTAGCGAGTATTTTAATACTCGCTTCTAAACAGGCCAGGTGCATGTATTATACTACCTGACCCGCCTGTAACCGTTATCTGCAAAAATTAATAATAAAATTTTAATTTATATCTTTTAAAATTAAACTTTCTTTTTATTACTCTTAAAGAAAAAAATGGAAAGCTTTTCAATTAAAAATTACGTAACCTTAATTAAAAGTCCCAATTTTCTAATTGTTGGTTTCTCTAAAAAACTCTATTTAGAGTTTCTTTTCCTAATCTCTTCTTTTTCACATTTCTCGCGAGCAAACCCAGAAGCTTAAAACTTCTTCTCTTTCTCTGTTATCGCGCGAACAACTCAGCTTGGAGAAAATCATCTGTGGCTCGCGCAAAGGAGGTGCTCTCGTGGTGACGAAGACAGTGGTGCAGCGATGACGCGACTTCGGCGACGTTATCATCTTCCCTGGTGCCTCGCGAGGGCGCATGGCCCTTCTTGTTATTCTCCTTCCCTTCATGTTGGTTTGTTGCGCAAGGAGGGAGGTTTCCTCTCCCTTTAGTTTTTATTTATGGTTCGTCTTGCAGAGAAATGGGGCTTCTACATTTCGCAACGACTTCGCAGGGGTTCGATTCTCGAGTTTGACTCACAATTTTGGGATTGAGTTTTCTTTGTTTTTCCTCTACAGGTGTGGCGAAATTTTGGAGGTTTTTATTCGGGATTGAGAGTTTTGAAATTGAGAATTTAGGGTTGTTGTTTCTTGCAATTTAAGGTTAGGGTTCCTTCGATTGGGATTTTACTGACCTTGTAGCGAGTTTGAAGTTTATGATATTTTTTTCTGGTTTGAGAATTTGTAGGATTCTTGGTCTTGCAGTGTTGTGGGATTTTCTCTACGTTTCTGTTCTTGGGGTTCTATGCTTGCAATTTTGTTCTTGCAAATTAAGGGTTAGGTTAAATTTAATTAAAAAATTAAATTTATATTTATATTTAATTTAATTTATATTATATATATACTTTTTGTAATTTTATTTAAATTTTATTTTAAAAAAAATCTATAAAATATATATTTTTTTAAATTTGCGAGTACCCACAGATTTTAAAATATCTGTGGATATTTTTTAAACGGATACTCACGCGGGTAGCGGGCGGCTTGTGGGTTAAATTTTCATTTTATCAGTCGGATTGTAGGGAGACACTATCCGGGCCCAACCCGACCCGTTGTCTTCCCTAATGATGTATTCTTAATTGGTTTTTGTACTTTAAAACAATATTTTAATGGGTGTTGCTCCCTCCACCACCACACCTTTCTCCCTCCACCTCCCATTTACTATTTTTCCCCTCAGTAAAATTTTACTTTTAGGGTTATTATTTTTTAATTTTAACCCTTCATAACCTATTTCACTAATAACCTATTGTAGTACCGTGTATGAGTAAAATACTTTTCTTTCATTTTAACATTATACTTGTTTCTCTCTTTCTTTGGTCTGCTGTGAGATACTACAAGTTGTAAAGGTTGGTGGTGGTGGAAAGAATTATCAACCAGTCTCCCTCTCGTGGTGGTGCAGTGTCGCTCTCGTGGTATAGTGCGTGGAGTGGTGCAGTGCGTGTGTGGTGCTTCCTCCAAGTGTGTACTCGAATAAACCATGACATAAAACCCTAAAATAAAAAAATGAAACCTTTAAACGGAGGTGACATCCTTCAACGAATGTCAACATCCGTTTAAGGTAAAACGGATGTCAGCATCCGTTTTACCTTAAACGGATGTTGACATCCGTTGAAGGATGTCACCTCCGTTTAAAGGTTTCATTTTTTTAGGGTTTGTTTTATTAGTTTATTAGATATTTTAATAATTTAATTTAAATGTTTTGATTTATTATTTTTGAATATATTTTTAATGTATTTTAATAATGTATATTTATATTAGTTTATATTTAAATTTTTAATTTTGGATGTGACATATAATTAGTTTTTAAACGTAATGATTTTGTAAAACTGAAGAAAAAGGAATGAAAACGCGGGAAGTGGAGAGGTGAAATAAAAATGGGGAAAGGGGAAGAGAGTTCCGTGGGTGGATGTTATGGGGAGGTGAAACAGAAATGGGGAAAGGGGAAGAGAGTTCCGGGTGCTAAGAAAGTAAAATTAGGGTTTCAAATTATTTAAAATAGGATAAAAGTAAAATCTTTTTAACTTAAGGATATAATTGTATTTAAAATAATTGGAGAAGTGAAAGAAGTATACGGTGGTGGTGGAGGGAACAACACCCAATATTTGATTGTACCAATAAACAAATTTCTTTCAATTAAAATTTATTACTAACTTGTTTCGTAGTGATTCTTTAATCTAAAATTATATTTTTTTAATCTAAACGCTTATAAAGTTATATGTTTGTTTATAAAATATTTATTTAATGAAAAATATTTATTACATTTTTAAATATTATGAATAATATATCGTTTAAAGTCATAATAAATAAATGCTAGAAATTTTTTATTTATATTTAAATTTTTTAATTTAATTAATAATTTGATTTCGATAATTTTGACTCAATTGAATTTTTATTCTTTTCATAAAAGAATTTATTGACTCTTAGATTAGTATTAATACATTTAAAAGTGTAATGTGTGAAAATATAGATTGACGTATATTTAATTTTGACACCTAAAATAAATAACCCACATTTTGATAAGTAAGATATAAAGATTTTTGCGTATAAAACTTCTAAAAAACGTCCCTTTTTTAACATAATCCCAGTTCGTACATCTCCCTATACATCCGTGTTTTTTTTTTAACTTATCAACTGTTAATATCTCGTGACAGTGAATATCAAATTAAAATTAAGAGAAAAATAATAATACAGTAACATATTTTTATATTCATAATATAAAGATAAAATAAATAATTATAAAGAAAAAAGTAAATTTTTGAATTTTTTTAAGAAAAAAGAAAAATTAATATCAAATAAATATAAAAAATTTATGTGTAGAAAGCAGAGAGTAAAGCTGACAAATCAAAAGCCCAACAATGTTGTCGTGTTGGTGTGGAATTCTGTTTTCTCTGCACCAATGCCTTGGCGACACAAACGTATTTTAACTGAAAAATATATTTTGACATACGCAATTCTTTTATATTTATTTAATATTTTTAACTTTTATTTGAAAAATACAAAAAATATTATTTTATCTTTGTATTATATATAAAATAACATATTATCTATTATCATTTCAAAAAATAATTCTTTTAATCTATATAATTTTTTTATATTTATTATAATTATTTTATCTTATATTATAAGTCAAATAAATATAAAATGACCATATTATTATTCTTATTATTTCTCTAAAAATACCTGCCAATAAAAACACTACAACTTAGAGTAACACCTTCAATAATGGTATTAAAAAAATCTACCACCAACAACATATTAACAGTATAAATATGTGCATTTATAGTATCCAGCAATAGGAAGGACGAAGAAAATGGCAGAAGAGAAGAGTGTGGAGATTCCTAGAGTCAAACTTGGAACTCAAGGTCTTGAGGTAGTATCATATATATATATCATATTATGATTACACATAAGGAAACTATAACCCTAATTGTTGAAAAACATCAACGATTTTTTATGATACTGAATCTTCTGTTATCTGTCAAAAGGTATCAAAGTTGGGGTTGGGATGCATGAACATCAGTGGAGCCTATACTGATCCTGTTTCTGATGATGAAGGCATATCTCTTATTAAGTATGCATTCGATCACGGAATTACTTTCTTTGACACTGCTGATATTTATGGGGCCAAGGCTAACGAAGTTTTGATCGGAAAAGTAACCATTTTTTTCTCACCCTTTTTCTTACACTTCAACTAGGTAAGATCACTTTCTCAGTGTTTCATTATTTGATTCTATTGAACAGGCTTTGAAGCAGTTACCCAGAGAAAAAGTTCAACTGGCGACGAAATTTGGAATAGCAGGAATGAATTTTCCTAATGTACAAGTCAAAGGTACACCGGAGTACGTGCGATCGGCTTGTGAAGCTAGCTTGAAACGTCTTGATGTTGAATACGTTGATCTCTATTATCAGCACAGAGTCGACCAAACAGTAGCCATAGAAGAAACGGTTCGGATTCCTTCTTCTGTTACACCTTTTTTATGTCTTAAAACTTATTATATACTTCGTACTACATGTTCTGTTCTGTCTTTGTGTGATTCATCTCAAAAGACAAAAGTTACATATTGTCAATTGTAGGTAGGTGAGCTAAAAAAGCTGGTGGAAGAGGGAAAAGTGAGGTACATAGGGTTATCTGAAGCTAGTCCTGATACTATAAGAAGAGCACATGCTGTTCATCCCATCACAGCTTTGCAAATAGAGTGGTCCCTTTGGACTCGTGATATTGAGGAGGAGATAGTTCCTCTCTGTAGGTTAGTTCAACTTCTTCTCCAAGATCACTGGAATGTTGAGATAATTCTCATATCTGTTTCTTAACTAAATTTTTATCCTCTGTTTAACTAAGAGTTACTAGAAAAGATGGTAGAAAAATACATTAAAAGAAAGTTGATCTGCTGGTTACATGTTTATGTTNTTTTTTTAGGGTTTGTTTTATTAGTTTATTAGATATTTTAATAATTTAATTTAAATGTTTTGATTTATTATTTTTGAATATATTTTTAATGTATTTTAATAATGTATATTTATATTAGTTTATATTTAAATTTTTAATTTTGGATGTGATATATAATTAGTTTTTAAACGTAATGATTTTGTAAAACTGAAGAAAAAGGAATGGAAGCGTGGGAGGTGGGGAGGTGAAACGGAAATGGGGAAAGGGGAAGAGAGTTTCGTGGGTGGGTGCTAGGAAAGTAAAATTAGGGTTTCAAATCATTTAAAATAGGGTAAAAGTAAAAATCTTTTTAACTTAAGGATATAATTGTATTTAAAATAATGTGGGGAGGTGGAGGAAGTATACGGTAGTGGTGGAGGGAGCAACACCCTATTTTAATTAGGATTTGTTATAATTGGGTTTATTGGGCATGAACAAAAGCAAATTTAAAAATAGTTTTTTAGTTGCATAAATATTCTTTAGATATTTTGAAGTGTGTTATTCCAACTATAGCTAAGTTGAACTCATGTAGGTGTAGAAACAAATTGGTTAAAGTTTCATAACACCTTAAAGATAAATTCAATAATAGAAAATAATAAAAATCACAAGAAGTCAAGTCAAGCATTGCATGAAGAAGACAAGAAAAATATGAAAAAGTGAAGAAATTTGGCTAAGTCAGGAAGAGGGAATAGGTAACAAAAATTGGACCTTGCACTTCTCTATATTTTTTCTACGAAAAGAGCTTTGAAAATTGATAAATGAGATAATTTGGGAAAAATATATCTTTAGATATTTTATTTGATATTTTTAAATAATTACTTTATTTAACTATATCCGTAAATACCAAAAGATAATATTTGTCAAAAAAATTTAATTTAGCAAAGATCTTCTCAAATATTTTTAGATCTCTACAGCAATCAAATATATCTTGAAGATATTAGATTATTTAGAAGATAATTAGAATATATTACATTTTATCATAAAGAAGATTACAACAACAGAAAAGTTCAAAATAAAGCACATTCCAATTTCTATATAAAGAGACTTAGGAAAACACATTAGTTGAACTTATGAATCTTTTGGGGGACCTTATTTTGTTTTCTCCATCATATTTCATGTTCTCTGCCCTTTCTTATTTTATTTTTATGTTATTTTTACATTCCATGGAGTATCAAGCCTCGTGGGTTGGTTCTATTATAATTTCTTAACTAGATTATGAGGTTAGATGAATAAATTTGTTTGTTTTTTTAATTCTTATTGTGATTTATTTTGTATCTATGTCTTTTGTCTTTTAATCAAGTTAAAGTAATGATTTTTACATTGTAGCAAATTAATAGTGTTAAATCTACTTTATTAAATTTAGAAACTTTTATATGATTGAATGAGTTTTTGCCAATAATTGAAATTGTACTTTGATTAATGGTGAAAACTTTAACAAGAATTAATCAAGAATGTACTTTGGTTGCTTAGATTTTTACTTGATATAAGAGATAAAAAAATATACATGATTAGATTTTTACTTGATATAAGAGATAAAAAAATAAACATGATTAGACATATTAATATTTAATCGAGGACGTACTTTGGTTAAATTTACTACGATTAATCTACAAAGTTCTTACTTTTAATTAAGAATATACTTTGGTTAATAGTGAGAAAGCTAACAAATTAATTGAGAATTTACATTGATTAATTTGAAAATCTAAGACAATAATTAATTGAACAATAATCCTCAAATAACCAATGAAGAATCCTATTTTGAAAAAATAATGGAATAAACCTATTTCATTATTATTATTTTTATGTCTTTTTAACTTTTCAATTCTATTTCTTTCTGTCATTATTATTTTGATATTTAATCTTTTATTTTTTTTATTTTTTATTATCTTTATTTTGTTTGACAAACCCTTTTGTTTATCATTTATAAAAATAGATTGTTAGAAATAAATTATATGTTCATTAGGAGACGACTTAGGGTTAATTTAATCATATCTAGTTGGTTAACTATTAACTTGACAATATTGAAGTTATATTGGTTAAGTAATGGTAACTCCTATGAAAACACTTATCCACACACCATCAATGTATTATTTAATTAACTTTTCAATTCAACTTCTATTTGAAACTAGGTTATGAAATAATCAAATAACTAATGTAACTCAGCTTACACTAAAAAGGCAAACAACATTCTATATCCTTCTTATCTAAAGGTATTGTCTTATATTCATTATTAGCTATAAGAATGCAATTCACATATATCCAAATCATCCCAAAGATTATGTTAGATCATTTAAAGGTTAGCACCTTAAATCACTTAGGCCATGTTCTTTTGAGTGGATTTGAGGGAGTGGATTTGAGAGGATTTAAGAGGATTTGAAAATAATTTTTTTTGTTGTTTATTTGAGTGAATTTGGAGGTAAATGAGAGTGAATTTGTAAATAAAATTTGTGAGAATATATATAGAATTGTATTGACGTGACAAATTAAAAAAAATTATTTCCAAATTCACTCTTTTTTACCTCCAAATTCACTCAAATAAACGACAAAAAAATTTATCTTCAAATCCTCTCAAATCCCCTCAAATCCACTCAAAAGAACAGGGCCTTAGAGTTGGTGTCCCTTAACAATAACAAAACACCTACAACATATACAATGCTTCACTCAGAATCATTCATAGCAAACTAAAAACTTAAAACACAACTCTCAACTCTACAACTAAATGTTTAACCATTGAAATACTTCCACCAAAACCAAACATATGTCCATCACTAAGTTACACCTTAAATAATAATTATTCAAACATATTGCCTATTATGAAACATATGACTATCATCAAACCACTCACAAGTTAAAACATTTAGATTTAAGACAAAAAATAATCTAAGATTTACTCATGAGTGTACAGTCTCCTCACTAACTCCATATTCTTTCTCTCTTAAAATTGTTGTTTCACCAACTAAATCAAACAAACTAGACTTAACAATCATACACACTACAACACACAACAAATCCACAACCCTCCAGCCAATCTAAAGTTTAATGGACTCATGAAACTCTACATCTGTCACTTACTCCTAATTCTCTAATGATGTTACAATGCTTAAAACCAATGTCCCTCACCAAGTCCTAACAGCATTAACCTCACTAGGTTCCTAAGTATGATCCTTTTTCATATCATATCATCTGTCATGTGAAGCATCCTTGGACTCACACCACCTAGATATCATACTCTATGCGAGCAAGTAACTAGATGTGTGAGGATAGTTTCAACCCCTAATATACTTTGGCACCCTAAGCACTAGTATTTTCTCATGAAAATAGTTATTGGACTCAACGTCACATCACTACTTCAAGCAAAACTCTAACTTAATCATTTAATAAAAGTTTAGACTAAAAAATGTCGCCCAACAGTACTAAGATAGAAATTGTTCTTCCCAAAATTTATTCAACAACGACAAGGGCAGTGCGTCCAACGATATCCATTAAACTAGTTTAAAAGAAATTTCAAATCTTAAGGCTATCACTTGTTGTTACAAGATATCACATTCACTCAAATGCATATATCTACATTACATGAACACAAAAATATTCTTATTTAGTATAAAGTTTCACAAAATCTAATTCAAGCATTACAAAAACCACAACCTAACATTTGAACCATACACATTCTTTCTCATAAGCACAAAAATTCTGCATAACAACTAATTTTCATTAAAATGTTATCATAGATTCATGACATTTACAAAAATTTTCTCACAATCACCCATAATTTACAATATTTTCAATCCTTCAATACTCACATTATAGCACACTTCAAAACACATAAACTCCAAATTTACTTTCAAAACAAAGACCCAATATTTCAAGAAGAAATTAATTATTCATTCAAATCAATGTTAAAATGAAAACTTTTAAATGATTAGCTTCTTTTACCTTAAAGGAGGAGCCTACCAACATTCTTCGTGGGCACCCACAATACTCAAACTTGCCCTATATACAACAAAACCCTATTAAAAATTATATGACTACCTCGGGATGAGGATTCATCTAAAATGTAGAAAAATCACATGCAAACCCAAGAATTTTTCATGCATTGAAAATCAAAATGACTCTTGACAAAAGGGGTAAATTGCACACATGTAGTATAGATTGCTAAGATCAACTTGTACATTTTTTTTGCAAAAGAAACAAAAACAATATTGGTTTCAATGCTTCAATCTTCAAAATATAAGAAAGGGTTAGATTCTAAGAGGAGCAACAAAGAGAAGAGAAGGAACTCATGAAGGAAAAATGGGTAGAACGATGTTTTATTTCTTGGAGGAACCTATTTCTATAAATTTTAACTTTTAATAAAATAAAAGTCATTTATATATTTATTGGGTTCTCAGAGTTCCTACTAAATAATGCTCTTGTTTCATGGTGTTCCAAGAAACAATAGGTAGTAGCTCTATCCAACTCTGAAGCAAAATATATAGTTAGGAGTTATGCAACATGTCACAGAGTTTGACTTGAAGAATTGTTGAGAGAATTGAAGATCCAAAGACATCTATGCAACTGAACATTAACAATGTTTTTGCCATAAATTGTCAAGAAATTAAGTCATGATATATAAAACTTGAAGGGAGAGCAATAATGTTTTGTAATACTTTTAATAAGTCAAGTTAGTTGATCAATTTTTTTATTTTAACATTATCTTATCTTATGTATCCTCATACATATAAGTTACTCTTATGATGTAATAATAGAGTAACATACAACACATATTTTCTCTCTTGCTTTTTCATGTTAGTTCCAATAGATTTCTTATTATCCAGTATCTTAATTTACATCATTAATGAATCAAATATGTCTTTCAATAATGAATTTGTGTATTTAATGTCGTGAATCACAAAATGATACTCACATATTATCTTTATAGAAAGAGCA